TAATCTACATTCCAGTGTGTAACAACGCTGTAATACATACTGGATAACCTACATTCCACTGTGTAACAACGCTGTAATACAAATTGGATAATCTACATTCCAGTGTGTAGCAACGCTGTAACACATACTGGATAATTTACCTTCCAGTCTGTAACAACGCTGTAATACACTCTGGGTAATCTACATTCCAGTGTGTAACAATGCTGTAATACACACCGGATAATCGACATTCCAGTGTGAACAATGCTGTAATACACACTGGATAACTTGCATTCCAGTGTGTAACAGCGCTGTAATGCACACTGGCTAACCTACCTTCCAGTGTGTAACAACGCTGTAATATGCACTGGATAATTTACATTCCAGTCTGTAACAATGCTGTAATACACACTGGATAACCTACATTCCAGTGTGTAACAGCGCTGTAACGCACACTGGATAATCCACATTCCAGTCTGTAACAGCACTGTAATATACAATGGATAAACTACATTCCAGTGTGTAACAGCGCCATTACATTCTGGATTGCAGATTATCTAGTGTGTATTACAGCACTAAGAGATTACCCAGTCTGTATTATAGCAATATGAATGACCTAATCTGTGTTACAGCACTTTTACCTACTGGAATTTGGATTCCTGTGTGTGGATTACAGGGCTGGTACATCCCAATAATATAAGGCACTATTTGGTCATTTGCTGCAGAGCTAAATGTTCATGGCCCAGTCTCCAAAGGTAATCACTGAAATATCAAGAGTACTCTGGCTGTTCAGTGTTTTGAGAGCCTGGATCAGCATCCAGAATCTGAACCTGTCTTCAGTGTAATGCACACTGATGAAAGACAGCAGTGACTGCAGGTAGCAGAGGCTGTTACAGTCAGTGGAGAAACCTGCCCTAGCATATGGGAGAAATGCAGTGTGTGCACGGGCAAATGCCATGTTACACAAGGCAACTGGCATGTGGAATCCATGACCATATATGGAGAGGCAGTGACCTAGTGGTAATATCAATAGACTGTTAATCCAGAGACCCAGGTAATGTTCTGGGGCCCTGGGTTCGAATCCTGCCACGGCAGATGGTGGAATTTGAATTCAATAGATATCTGGAATTAAGAGTTTAATGATGACCGTGAATCCATTGTCAATTGTTGGAAAAACCCATCTGGTTCACTAATGCCGAATAGGAAAGGAAACTGCCATCCTTACCTGGTCTGGTCTACATGTGGCTCCAGACCCACAGCAATGTAGTTGATTCTTAACTGCCCTCTGGGCAATTAGGGATGGGCAATAAATGCTGGCCTAGCCAGTGTCGGCCTCATCCCATGACTGAATAAAGAGAAAAAAGTGACAAAAGTGCTGTGAAGGAATGGTCAGAGACCTGTTTGGTCCTACGGACAATACCATAATGTCCAGCAGGATGATGTGGCTCAGGAGAAAGCAGCAACACATGCTGCAGAGAAACCACCTCTTGGCTGTGGGTTGTACACACTGCTGTGTATCAGAGAGGCCTGACACTCCTGTGGCCAAAGTAATAAAAAACATCAAGATTTCAGTGCATTCCCTAAATTGGCATTAAAAAAGAAAAAAAGACTTTCAAACCTATCTTTTTCAGTGTTTGATGGAAGTGATTTTTTTTTTGTTTACATTTAAAGGACCTCCCTCACGTTTTTCCCCTTGATATCCTCCACAAGTCCCTCCACCCTGTGACGCCCTTTGAAGATTTAAGTTTCTCACCAAACTCTCACTCCTGTCTTCTTGATAGATTTCCTGGGTCACAATGTTTCTCGGTGTAAATATGTGTAGAATCAAGCTTTCAGTTTAACATAATAAAGCTCAACTAAATGCAGATATGAGTTCATGTTGAAAGGTAGATAATGTGTGCTGGGTTACCATATCTCTATGGTTGTGACTGATCTCAGTCCTACATCATAGTAATCAGTAAGAACAATCAAAGGAAGTAGGAGGTGCAAGCAGACTTGTTGGTCTTACAGAACAAGGAGTTGACCTCAGCTGAATGTTGCAGGCTGGACATTCCAAAGGTTCTGGATGAATGCTGGTGGACACAGTAAAGCTTGGGGCAGCCACTGCCAAGGCACAGTGGGGAAAGACCACTATCGAAGGTCTTTATTCCAAAGTATAATGGGAATCTGTTCAGTTGTCAGACCCTTGTGGTGCTTCAGATATCTGCAAATAATATCTTACACAGATAAATATGGAAGGGCTGAGCTATGATGAAAAGGCTGGATAGGCTGGGACTTCTTTCACTGGAGCGTGGGACGTTGAGAGGTGACCTGATTGAAGTTTATAAAATCATGACGGGTATAGATAGAGTTAATGACTGTTGCCTTTTCCCTAGGATGGTGAGTTTCAAGACTAGGGGGCATCTTTAAGGTGAGAGGAGAGAGATTTTAAGAAGCTAATGTGAGGGGCAAATTTTTTACACTGAGGGTGATTCGTATGTGGAATAAACTTTCTGAGAAAGTGATGGATGTGGGTACAATTACAACATTTAAAAGACATTTGGACAAGTACACCAGTAGGAAAGGTTTGGAGGAATAAGAGGCAAGAGTAGGCACAGTGGGACTAGTTTAGTTTGGGATTATGTTTGGCATGGGCTGGTTGGACCGGAGGGTCTGTTTCTGGGCTGTATGACTCTAGAAAGAAATGTTTTGGCAAAGACTGTACAGGACCAATCTGCTTTAGTGACTGTATATGTATATAAAGACTTTTTATGAATGAAGTATATTTTTGAAATTAAAAAAAGTGCAATTCACCCTCCACTGGTTTTCTTTTCAATCTACCCATCTTGAATAATACTATTCCAACTAACTCTGGCAAGTGCAACTGAGCAGAAGTCTTCACCATCTCATACTTGTACCTTTTTGATTGGAAACCAAATGTTAAGCTCCGTAAATCCACTGGTGATTTATCAAATTTCAGTGTCACTGACTGTAGTACATGGCAATAATTAAAATTGTCCACACTTGGATGAATTGCGTTGCATTGTAAAACTGTCTTTGTTTTTTTTAGGTGTTTAGATAATGGGCTGTGTGCAATGCAAGGACAAAGAGACAGCAAAAGCAGCAGTGGACGATAGGGCTGGTTCCATCCCTCAGAACCCAGGCTACCGTTATGGGCCCGACCCTTCCCCCCAGCATTATCCCAACTTTGGCGTCACAGGGATTCCGAATTACAACAGCTTCCATGGGACAAGTGGACAAACACTGACTGTCTTTGGCGGAGTTCATTCTTCCTCTCACACAGGAACGCTGCGTACCCGAGGCGGAGGAAGCTTAACTGGTAGGGATAACACCCGATGTCTTATCAGTTGCCATTGTTTCCTGACGATTCCCTGCGTTAAAAAGCCTTTGCACCAAAACAAAACTCTTTTCCCCTCTCTGGAAAAAGGCATGAACTGGTGAACAGCAAGATTTGATGACTGTTCTGCAGCCAGTAGATTTTTAATGATTTACTAAATATCCTGCAAAAATGCTCTAACAAAACACCATGAAATGTTTTCCTATTTTTGAAGACACGATATAATTGCAGCTTCTTATGTTAGTAGAGCAATAAGTTTGTAAGATTGATTTGTTTTGGGGCTATCTATTTAATTTAGGATAAAATTAGGTTATAAAGAGGCTCAAGTGATATGTATCCTTGAGGCAGGTTATCCTGCTGGGAAGAAGATGCAAGGTAGTTGTACAGGTAAACAATGACAGCTGCACTGACAGTGAATAGACTGTTCATCTCCAAATCACAGCATAATATTAGGAATGTTGGGTTTTATAATCAGTTATATTTTGAATTGACTATTTAGTTTCAAGATGGAATGGAGTTAGGAGTTTAGAGGACAGTTAATGAACATTTCTGACTGGATATAAGGCCTATGTGATTCATGTTGCCATGGAGTTGGGTTTTGAGAGGGGAAGTCTCTCGAGCAATCTTTTATAGTATTGGCTTACAGGATTTTCCAAAATTTTACTGAACATGATAGAAAAGGGTCAGACAGCAAGAGTCTAACAGAGACACAACCAGTCTTTACTGTTCACCATGCAGAATGAAGGGGAGAAGAGTTCATGCTGAAATTGAAGAGACTACGTTCATGAGGATTTAATGAAGATGGAACATTTGCCTAGCCTTGGTTAGAAGGAAGCATCTTCAGAGTAACCATTACTGTAAAGCTGTGTTCAGGGACCAAAAATCAACCAGCTGGAAAAGCAAGCAAGGGTTGGGAGTGTTTTGAACGTGGAAATGACATGTCCACTAGAGGGAGAAAGTAAAGTATAATTGTGTAGAAGTTTTGCCTTTCAAATGTTAAATGGTGAATCATTCCTACAGTTTAAATTATAAGTAATCTCCTGGAATACAATTAAGGCAATGTTGCTTTTACTTTGTTTATTCCACTAAAAGTCTTGAAACTTGAAATCTTGCTGTGTGATCCATTCAGTCACTGGAAATTCAAATAGCTTTCCAAATACTGTTGATTGTAACACTGTGGAGGATGTAGACAGTGAGAACACAGGTCCCCTGGAGCTAATGAGATGCATCCTGATATATTAAAGGAAGTAGCTACAGAGCTAGTGGATGCAATGGTGGTAATCTTCCAAGAATACTTAGATTCTGGAAAATTTCCAACGGATTAGAAAACAGGCAATGTAACATTATTATTTAAGAAGGAAAGGATTAAAAAAAAAAGACAGGTAATTATAGGCCAGTTAGCTGAACATTTGACATTGGGAAAATATTCAAGTTTACTGTGAAGAATGTAGTAGCAGAGCATTTAAAAATACATAATGTGTTCAAGCAGAGTCAGTATGGTTTCACGAAGGGGAAATTATGCCTGGTAAATGTATTTGAATTCTTTTGAGGAGGTAACAAACAGGATAGATAAAGAGGAAGCAATGGATGTAATATATTTGGATTTTTAGAAGCTGTTTGATAAGGTACCACACCTTAGGCTACTGAACAAGATAAGAGCCCATGACGTTGGAGGTTGTATGTTAGCATGGATAGAGAATTGGCTAATAGAAGTCAGAGAGCTGGGATAAGAGTGACATTTAGACAGGTTAAGCAAGAGGGCAGATGGAATATAGGTGGGAAATCTGAGGACATGCACTTTGGCAGGAAGAATAGGAAAGCTGAATATTATTTAAAATGGAGAAAGACTGCAAAAAGCTACAGGACAGAGGGATTTGGGAGTCCTCATCCATGAAACACAAAAAGCTAACATCCAAGTTGAACAGATAATAGGGAAAGCAATGTTGGCCTTTATTTCAAAGGGAATGGAATATAAAAGTAGAGAATTTTGCTAGAACTCCAGGGCACTCGTCAGATCACAGCTGGACTGCTAAGAACAGTTTTGGGCCCCTTACTGAGGAAAGATATATTGGCCTTGGCGCCAGTCCACAGATGTTCAGTAGGTTGATAGCGGGTATAGAAGGATGGCCTTATGAGGAGACATTGAGTAGATTGGCCCTGTAGGAGCAAATTGCTGCAGATGCTGAAATCTGTAGATGCTGGAATCCTCCTACAGGTGGTCATTTTAACACAGCGTCCTGCTCGCGTGCCCACTTGTCTGTCCTCGGCTTGCTGCAGTGCTCCAGTGAATCACAACACAGACTGTAATTTCCAGCATTTTTTGTTTTCACATTGGCCCTGTACTCACTGGAGTTTAGAAGAATGAGAAGCAACCTTATTGAAGCATACAGGATTCTTAGAAGACTTGACAGTGTAGATGCAGCAAGGTAGTCTCCTGTTATGGAAGAGTCTGGGACCAGAAGGTGTAATCTCAGAGTAAGGGGATCTATGTTTAACACCAAGGTTAGGCAAACAAAGACATGAAGCTGTAAATGGAGCACGGTGTAATCACAGAAATATTCAGGGGGTACTGCCCTGAAGAGGCACTTATACCTGTCTCCCCCTCACGCCACCTTTCTCCAAAACATACCCAGGGAGATCACTTGTGTAGCTTTTCTGTATTTCACTGAGCGCAGTTTCCCTCCAGGCCAGGGAGAAGCCAAATTCAAGCAGCTTCCTGGATTTCATTGAATCCTGAAGACCGTGTGCAAATTTATCTTTGATTTTGTTGGGAGATGAGCATCCATTTTGCCCTCTTCTGATATTAAAAGGGCAACTAACCACAAGGTGGAAACAAAGTGCACATAGTGGTCTCATTTTTACTGGACACTGTAGGAGGTGCAATCTTCCCAGTGCAGAATTTCTCTTCTTAGAGGATAATGAATCTGTGGAATTCTTTAATGCCGAGGGCTGTTGAAGCTGGGTCATTAAGTATTTCCAAGGCTGAGATAGACAGATTTTTAATCAGCAGGGAAGTCAGGGGTCATGGCGAAAAGACAGGGAAGTGGAATCGAGAATTATCACATTAGCCATGGTCTCATTGAATGGCAAGAACAGGCTCAATGGACTGAATGGCCTACCTCTGCTCTTACATCTTTTGGTCTTATGGCATTTCATTGTATTGCACAAGCCAGTAAAGCTGGACCAGAAAGACTCTAATTTGTTTCACTAGTATATTTAAGACATTTACGTCAAGAGATTGAAAATAATTCAACCTGCTCATACAGTAAACCTTGAGCATCACTCCAAGATTGAACTCCTCATGTTACTCTCAGCCTGGTATTAGGTAGAGCAATCTGCACTGGGAAGATTGCACCTCCTACTCTGTCCAGTAAAAATGAGACCACTATGTGCACTTTGTTTCCACCTTGTGGTTAGTTGCCCTTTTAATATCAGAAGAGGGCAAAATGGATGCTCATCTCCCAACAAAATCAAAGATAAATTTGCACACTGTCTTCAGGATTCAATGAAATCCTGGAAGCTGCTTGAATTTGGCTTCTCCCTGGCCTGGAGGGAAACTGCGCTCAGTGAAATACAGAAAAGCTGCTCAAGTGATCTCCCTGGGTATGTTTTGGAGAAAGGTGGCGTGAGGGGGAGACAGGTATAAGTGCCTCTTCAGGGCAGTACCCCCTGAATATTTCTGTGATTACACCGTGCTCCATTTACAGCTTCATGTCTTTGTTTGCCTGGCCCTGTTTGAGGGTAGTTTCCAAGACCACAGGCTGCTCTCTCACATCAGGGAGAGACAACTGGTAGTTGGTGAGTTTAGCCTGAGGGTCACCACGCCTCGGGTGAGGTTCTGAGTTTGAGAAGGTCGGACCTTCATGGTTATCTATCTATCAGCCAGTACAGGAACTGAACCTGCACTGTTGTTATCTCTCTGCAATTGCAAACCAGCCAGCTGAGGTAACTAACTGCCTGATCCCCACTGGGTAAACCAGCCTGTGCAGGGAGATGCTGAGCACTGAAGAGGAAGCTGTGATGTTTTGTAGTACTGTGAGCCATGATCCTGATGCTAATGGGTGTTTCTTTTGTTTCTCCAGTTGGAGTAACCCTGTTTGTGGCTCTGTATGACTACGAAGCCAGAACTGATGACGACCTCAGCTTTCGGAAGGGAGAAAAGTTTCAAATTCTTAATAACACGTAAGTTATCAAGAAGGAGAGAGAGAGAAAAAGAGACGAATATGAAGGAAACCACTGCTGCAGTCTTTGAGAAATGTTACTTCCTTCATCCAAATCTCTGTAGAGTTCAGAAGAACAGCAAAAATGACTTTGTGTGACCCTCATCTGTTACAGGCGAGCACCATTTCCCATCAGTTAGGAAGCCAGATGTCTCATTGGTTGGCCTATACTTGGTGTTGTATTTTTTTTTAAATAAAACATTAAAAGGAATCATTAATGCCAGCTGTCACCATGGCAATGGCTGTTTAATCTGACTTGCGGAGTAAAGGAATTTATATGTGGAGCACTCTGCCAGTTGGAAGCTGACGCATTTAAAGGGAGGCTTGACACGAACTTAAGGGAGTAGGGAATAGAGGAATGGGGTGGCAGGAGGGTTTAGGGAATTATTAGAGTGGGAAAAGGTTTATGTGAAACGTACAGGCATGCATTGATGGGTTGGGCTGATGGGCCTGTTTCTGAGCTGTGGATTCAATGCGATTCTGTTTTGAGTGTGTCATAATAGCTGAATTGCCCCCTGTAGTTTTACCAGTGCTTCAAAATGCAGCTGTATGGCCACACTCAGGCCTGCAGACTTTGAGATTACAGGAGGATACGCTGGCAAACTTTACAATAATAAACAAACACATTCAGGGAACTGACTTGAGTTTGATCCTTTCCATAACCGAATAGTAAAATATTGAAGATGCTGATGATCCAAAAGCAGAACAGAAAATTCTGGAAACAAGTTGGCTAGACAACATCTGTGAATTTAGCAAGCCGGGCACTCCATATGAAGAAAGGTTCATGCCCCAGACATACCTATTTACCAACAGATACTGCCTGACCATTTGGAAAACAGAATAGGTTATGTTCCTGAAAATGAGGAAAGGAAATCAGACTAACGAGGGAAGAGGGATTAATTGTATGGCTCTTTGAAAGTGCTGGTATGGACACAATGGGCCAAACGGCTTCATTCTTTGTTGTCTAATTGAGTATAACATGGCCTTAATTACCACAATAAGTTGGTAATTATTATAGACTGATGTATTCTTACCCTCAAAATGTATATCTGTCATCTGTAACTCCTCAGTTTTCTCTGGGTTGTCAAGCTCTAGATTCTTTCTTTGAAGACTCAATGATGTTTTTGAACAGCAACTTTTTTTTTGATGTAAGAGAAATCACATGCCTCTTTCCTGTGGATGAGTAAGCTTTTCTTTACAGGGTACAACATATTCAATCCAGTTAACTGCAAGAAACAAGAGCACTAGCTATTTCTATAGCGGTCATTACATTGACCAAGTCGTATTGGTAAATCTATGCAAACCCTTAAAGTAAGACCATGCATGCTTGGGTCACTTTTTAGGTTCCACATGATGTGGAGGATGTTAAGGCATTCGAGAGGGCACAGAATAAATTCATTAAAATACTACCCGGTGGAAGGAAACAAATATGAGAACTATTTGGAAAATTCAAGGCTGTTTTCAATACAGCAGAGGAGATGATAGCTAACTTGATTTAGTGTTCAAAGTTGTAAAGGCTTGGCCAGAGTAGGTAGAGGCAGATTGTTTGCGGTGAATAAGAAGTCTTGGACAAGCAGATGTTAATTAAAGACTAAATGCAGGGGGTTTAGAGGAAAGAGAAAAAGAACAATACAGCACAGGAATAGGCCCTTCGGCCTTCTGAGCCTGTGCTAACACATTTTGTCCTTCCATACTAAAACTGCCTTCACTTACAGGATCCGTATCCCTCTATTCCCTTCCTGTTCATGTATTCATCCAGGTACTTCTTGAATGCTGCTATTGTGCCTGATTCCACCAGCTCCTCTGGCAGTGTGTTCCAGGAACTCACCACCCTTTGTGTAAAAAAACTTGCCTCACACATCTCTTTTAAACTTCACCTCCCACACCTTGAACCTATGACACCCAGTAATTGACCCCTCCACCCTGGGTAAAAGCCTCATACTTTCCACTCTATCCATGCCGCTCACAACCTTATAAACTTCTACCAGGTTGCCCCTCAACCTCCTGTGTTCCAGTGAAAACAAACCCAGACTATCCAACCTTTCTCCACAGCTAAAATCGCCCATACCAGGCAACACCCTGGTAAAACTTTTCAGTACCCTCTCCAAAGCATCCACATCCTTCTGGTAGTGTGGTTACCAGAACTGTACACAATATTCCATAAGTGGCCTAACTAAAGTTTTATAAAGCTGCAGCATAACTTGTCTATCTTTATACTCAATGCCCCTTGCAATGAAGGCAAGCATGCCATCGGCCTTTTTTACTACCTTATCTACCTGCGCTGCCACTTTCAGTGATCTGTGTATTTTCACACCCAGATCCCTCTGCATTTCAATACTCCTAAGGGTTCTGCCATTCACTGTATTATTTCCACCTGTACTTCCAAAATGTATCGCCTCACATTTGTCTGGATTTTTACTCAGAGAGCTGTAAGCTCTGGAGAAGCAAGTGATTGTAGCTGAGATGAGCCATTGTTCCAGAGTACATTAGAGAAGTGTTAAACAGGTAGCTCCCATTTCAAGTACGTCCTTTTAGCATGTTTTGTGTTTTAGTGCCATTTGTAAATAATGGAAGTCAACTGAATAGCACTCCCTCCATTTTCGCTTTAGTGCATGTATCAAGGATTGAATTGTGGTTACACATACTCAGTCTGTTTTTTCAGACCATCTCCCTCGATCCTCCCCCTTCCTCCGGCTCATCGTGAGTGAGGACATGAGAGACAGGGAGTTAGAGAAGGATGGCAAGCTGGAGGGAGTGAGCGAGGCAGGGACTGAGGGTAATGGATGGTGATGAGGTGGGAGCAGGAGGGATTCCAAATGGAAGACCAGATTGAGTGAATAGGGGCCGAATTAAAAGAGTAGGAACCCATTATGCTTTTAACTTCAAAATTACAGGTCAGGAACATACCCCACCCCTGTCACATTGCAGTTATGGGGAAGCGATTTTCATTGCCCAGGCTGTTTTTCTTCAGAAACATATAGTAGAGTTAATAACAAGGGATATTTTCACATTGACTTGTGGCTGTTCGTCCTTTACAGTGATTGACTGACTGTGGTTTTTCACATACGGCGAGAGTGGAGGTTTCTCAAAGGGCTGACACTTGTTCAGGCGTTTCGAATTTGAGGATTGATCAAAATAACAAACCAGGTCAGAAAGAATGATTCCCAAAATCACTGCACAACAATGACTGAGATGTTGTCAGTGAGGATGGAGCTTCCATCCTGTCTGAAACAGCTGCTGGGAGTAGCCACTCCCCTCCCTGTTGAGGTCATCCCAGTTGTCTCTGTGCTATGCAGCCAATATGACGCTGAGGTTTACATGGTTACCCAAGGAAATACACTAAAAAAAACCAGCAGTCTGCCTGTGCCAGTCCTGTCTTGCTGATGGAGTTCTGTCCCCCGCTTGGCACTGGTGGTTTCGACTGTTCCCTTGCTGAATTGAAAACTGTTTCCCTGCTGCCCCTCAAAAACAAAAAGACGCGTTGGATGTCATTCCCTTCGGTGGGCCACAGTGGAGAGAGCGGACCAGCCAAACCCCTTTCCTTCATTCAAACGCTACAGGATGACAAGAGGCAAGCAACACCTGAACACCTTCCTTTCAGTGTAAAGGATCACGAGCACAAATATCCCCCTGATTCCTGCCCTCTGTCCTCTCTCTGACTCCCTCCCTCTTTCTGCGTTCACTCTTAGCTGTGTACTTGGGGTACTCTGACCTTTGCTCTCTAACGCCAAATGATCTGTCCTTGGCAAATGTCTCATCTCCAACCCCCTTATACCCCCACCTCAATGAAGTTCAAGTTTGGTCTGACCTTGTGCTCCCCTTTTGTCACCTCACTTCCACACCCAGGGCCCAGGCATCTCCCTCCTGCACTGTGAAGCTCCATAGAATCCCTACAGTGTGGAAACAGGCCCTTCGGCTCAACAAGTCCACACCGACCCTCGGAGCATCCCACCCAGATCTACACATTTCTGAACACTATGGGCAATTTAGCATGGCCAATCCACCTAACCTGCATATCTTTGGATTGTGGGAGGAAACCGGAGCACCCGGAGAAAACCCACGCAGACACAGGGAGAATGTGCAAACTCCACACAGACAGTCGCCCGAGGCTGGAATCGAACCTGGGTCCCTGGCGCTGTGAGGCAGCAGTGCTAACCACTGAGCCACCGTGCTGCCCTAAAGCGAAGGAGCCCTTAACTACCCAGAAGTGAAGGGCTCCTTCACTTTCACCTAACTACAGGAGTCTTTCTCTACCTGAACCCTTCCCTCTGGCATCTTACTCTATCCTGATCGTTTCATTGAGAAATGTTGGCATGACCTGTCTCAATTTCCCTGCTCCCTGCGTTCATTCAAATGTGCATTTCTCTGACCTTCCAGCACTATGTTCTCTCAGCCAATCCGAACCCTTGTCTTAAAACCTGCTATCAAGGGGGTGTTGTTTTTAGCGACCTTAGTTACTCCAGCAGAGGTCGAATGTCAACTCTCTAGCACTTCCTTCTGCCTCTCTGTCTGGACCACAACCCCACCCCTGCAGCAAATAATCTCCTGACTCCCCAAAGCCTATGCACCATTTACAAACTGCAAGGCAGGAGTGTGAGGGAATACTCCCCACTTGCGTGGATGAGTGCAGCCCCAACAACACTCAAGAAGCTTGACACCGTCCAGGAGAAAGCAGCCTGCTTGATTGGCACCATCCTCTACCTTCTCCATCACTGATACTCAGTAATAGCAGTGTGTACTATCTACAAGATGCACTGCAGAAATTCACCAAGGCTTCTTACACAGCACCTTCTGAGACCCACAACCACTTCCATCCAGAAAGACAAGAGCAGCAGATACGTGGGAACACCACCTGAAAGTTCCCTTCCAATCGACTCACCATTCTGCCTTGGAAATATATCACTGTTCCTTCACTGTCGCTGGGTCAAAATCTTGGCATTATCTGGGCAAAGGCATTCCTAGCCTATCTGCACTAAGTGGACAGCAGTGATTCGAGAAGGCAGCTCGTCAACACCTTCTCGAGGACAACTAGGGACGGGCGATAAATGCTGGTCCAGCCAGTGACACTCATGTCCCATGAATGAACTTTTTTAAAGTTCTAGGCTAAGGCATTTATAGCTCTGCCAGTATAGCAGGGTTGTTCTAATATGAAGCCTGACTCCTGGAAAGGATTTGTGGAGATCATAGCAAACACTGAACATAATCCTCTTCTTTTCTGCTGATCTCTTTGATGCCAGATGCTCAGTCACATCACCCAGCAGATACACTGAGTAAAGCCAGCTGACCTCCTTCAGTTTTAGCCACCTCAAAATGTTGAAACAATGTCAAAGCTGTTAGTCATGAATTGACAGAAGCCTTGTTTGTGAACATTTTGGGGGGGATGACAGCCTTTCGAATGGATCAACAATCGCAACCTCCCCCAGTCAGAATGAAAATATTCAGTCACCTCCTTGTACGAATGTGCTGCTTGGAAAGAGTCGTTTAATGATGCTTTTAAGAAAGCAGATCTTTACAGTGAGATAGGGATAGGGTTAGATGGATGTGGTTTGGGTCTTGTTGTGTACCCATGCTTGGAGCCAAACTGGGGCAAAAGCCCCAGTCTGTACAGCACCGGATACCACTGACCGCTGCTCCCAGCTCACACCAAAGCCAGCTCAGGTTACCATGCACTTGGCCAAGAGCTCAGTAAGATCCCCCCCAATGTACTCACCAAGGATTGACAGATCCCAATTTCAGATCCACTACGTTGTTAAAACTTAGAGTAAAAGCAAATACAAGCTGATATGCAATGTATACAAAAAGGATAAAAATACATAAAATTCTTCATTTTCCTCATGCAGAGAGGATATTGGATCACTTGAGGGCGATAAATCATTTGCAACGTCAGCTCTCTCTTCTCTCCTGTCCCTTCCATCTACATGTTTCTCACGCTCTTTCCATCTCTCTCTCTTTCTCTCATCCCTGTTGTGCTTCTGCTCCCTCTTATTCATGGCCTCATATATCTTGCACTCCCCTCGCCGACGCCCCCCCTTCCTTCTCTCTCCCCTTGTCCGTGCTGTGCCCTCGCTCTCTCCCTTTGCCCTCGCTCTCTCCCTTTGCCCTCACTGTCACTTCGCTCTCTCCCTTTGTCCTCACTGTCCCTTCACTGTCTCTTATTTGAGAGTCTGTCAGAAGCTAACTATCTGATCTTTAATAATTGAGGCACGAGGTCACGCAGACACGGTTAAAAATACTGCCCAGTAGTGGGAGAGCTGCGAGCTATTCTGCAACAATGGGTCAAATGTGAACCAGTTAAACAGGATAATCATTAAATGTTTAAAGTGAGGAAGAGGACTTTGATCTGAGTTGAAAAATATTGAAGAGAGAAATAAATGAGATTAATGGTGCAGAAAACAAGTTAGCGAGAGCAATTTGATGGAGGAATAAAATTGAATGGGCTGCTTATAAGGAGGAGAAATATTTTAGTTAAGTTGGAGATAAATTAACGTAAAAGAAGGGAATGTGATTGTGCTGTACCATGTGCACTGCAGCTCCAGTTCCACCCTGATAAAGAACTGCAACTTTCAATTTATTGCTGTGGATTTGTAGATAAATTCCAATTTGGAGTTTGGAGTGGGAGCGGTAAAAAGTCTACATGTAGGAAAACTATTGTTGTGAATTTTTTTTTTGCAAGTAGACTTTAGCCGAAGGATTAAAATGCAATCAGATCGAACCATATCCCCGTTCTCTTAGAAAGCCCAGTGCTGGTAATGAACTGATCTAAATAAAACAGCATGGGTTACTTTAATTGGCTGTTCCTCAAATAAACCAGAGAATCCAACAGCGTTACTATGTTATTTTGGTCGAGCTGTTCTGGTCCTGTTTAAATTGGGTACCACATTCCCCCATTACATGTCCTCAAGTGGATGCTGGATATAAGTGCAGGTTGCCATGTATTTAACAGGTTCTGTTCCACCCACACAAACAAAGTGTTGCTGTTCAGAATGTCTTCTCCACCCACTTCAGTTCATTTTGAGAACATTCTAGCAAGTCCATTGTGAACAGCATTGTTTATAAGGGGCTTTTTGTGTGTATGTGTCTCTATCACTCTTTTTCTCTCTCTCTCTCTATCTCTCTCTCTCACACTCTCTAATTCTCCCTATCTCTCTCTCTCAAAATTCACCAATCTATCACGCACATCCCCTCCCCACTGTTTGAGTGAAAACAAAAATCGATGCAATAATTCCATAACGGCTTATGATGTTGTTCAACGAGTCAGCAGCTTGCTGTTGGTTTCAGCTGTAAACGCTCTGGAAAGTTGCTACAGTATGGTAGAGTGCTGGTTCTTACAGAATCACAGAAATAACAGCACAGGAGGAGGCCACTCAGCCCATCATGTCTGCATCGGCTCGCCAAATGAGCATCATGACTTAGTACCAGTCTCCTGCCTTTCCCCCATACCCTTGCAAATTCTTTCTTTTTTTAAATAGCCATCCAAAGCCTCGATTGAAGGTGCCTCCAGGACATTTCCAGGCCTTGCATTCCAGCCCCTAACTACTCGCTGAAACAGTCTTGTTTTTTTGTTACCTTGCATTTGCTTCTTTTGCAAATCACTTTAATCTCCCCCCCCCGGTTCACGAAACTTTTACAAGCAGGAACAGCTGATCTACTCTGCCCAGCTACCCCTGCCTTTGAAAACCCTAATCTCAGCTGAGCACAGACTTTCGAAGGCAGCATCTCATCACGGTGATCCTAGCTTTGACGTGCCGAAGAGAAGCCAATGAACCTCAGAATCGTTTTAGAAGAACAGGACCCTCGAGTAATTGAGAATACACGCACAATACAAACAAACAGGTTTGAGGTTTAAGGATACATGGCACAGTATTTTATCCCCCCTTGATTCATGGTGCGTAGTCAAAGAATCATCAGCAGTTCTGTTGTTACAATCAGTGATGTGAATGCTTTATGGGTCTGAAAGGAACCAAGTGTTTGATGTTCCGATATTTCTGTTTTATTTTTGCAGAGAGGGAGATTGGTGGGAAGCCCGATCCTTACAGTCTGGAGGTACGGGATACATTCCCAGTAATTACGTGGCTCCAGTTGACTCCATCCAGGCAGAGGAGTAAGTATGACTTTACTTACATCTGAAAGATTCATTAATTAGTGCTCTCCGGGAGTAAAGATTAATCCCCAGGGGCATTTCTGTGAGCAATAAGGGCAGAGACATCCTGAGGCCAGACCAATTCCTGGGATGGCAGGATTGAAGTATGAAGAGCGGCCTGTTGAAATATGTCCATATCAAAGAGGAAGAGGTGCTGGACGTCTTAAAATGCATAAACGTGGGTATAATCCCCAGGACCTGATCGTGTGCACCCTAGAACTCTGTGGGAAGCTAGAGAAGTGATTACTGAGCCCCTTGCTGAGATATTTGTATCATTGATAGTCACAGGTGAGGTGCCGGAAGATAGGAGGTTGGCTAACGTGGTGCCACTATTTAAGAAAGGTGGTAAGGAAAAACCAGGGAACCATAAACTGGTGAGCCTGACATCGGTGGCGGGCAAGTTGTTGCAGGGAATTCTGAGGGACAGGATTCACATCTATTTGAAAAGGCAAGGATTGTTAAGATAATTAACATGGCTTTGTGCATGGGAAATCATGTCTCACGAACTTGATTGAGTGTTTTAAAGAAGTAACGAAGAAAGTTGATGAGGGCAGGGTGGTGAACGTGATCTACAAGGACTTCAGTAAGGCATCTGACAAAGTTCCTCATGATAGACTGGTCAGCAAGGTTAGATCACAAGAAATACAGGGAGAACTAGGAATTTGGATATAGAACTGGCTCAAAGGTAGAAGACAGACGGTGGTGGTGGAGGGATGCTTTTCATACTGAAGGCCTGTGACCAGTGGTGTGCCACAAGGATCCGTACTGGGTCCACTGCTTTTTGTCATTTATATAAGTGATTTGGATGTGGTTGGTAAGATTGCAGATGACACTAAACTTGGAGGTGTGGTGGACAGCGAAAAATGTTACCTCAGAGTATAACAGGACCTTGATCACATGGGCCAATGGGCCGAGGAGTGGCAGATGGAGTTTAATTTAGATAAATGTGAGGTGCTGCATTTTGGAAAGGCAAATCAGGGCAGGACCTATACACTTAATGGTAGGGTCCTGGGGAGTTTTGTTGAACAAAGAGACCTTGGAGTGCAGGTTCATAGTTCCTTGAAAATGGAGTCACAGGTAGACAGGATAGTGAAGAAGGCGTTTGGTATGCTTGCCTTTATTGGTCAGTGCATTGAGTATAGGAGTTGGGAGGTCATGTTGCAGCTGTACCGGACATTGGTTAGGTCACTATTGGAATACTGCATGCAATTCTGGCTTCCCTGCTGTAGGAAGGATGTTGTGAAGCTTCAGAAAAGATTTACAAGAATGTTGCCAGGGTTGGAGGGTTTGAGCTGTAGGGAGATGCTAAATAGACTGGGACGATTTTGCCTGGAGTGTCGGAGGCTGAGGGGTGACCTTATAGAGGTTTATCAAATCACAAGGGGCATGGATAGGGTAAATAGACAAGGACTTTTCCCCAGGGTAGGGGAGTCCAGACCTAGAGGGCATAGGTTTAAGGTGAGAAGGGAAAGATTTAAAAGGGACCTAAGGGTCAACTTTTTCATGTAGAGGGTGGTGCGTGTACGGAATGAGCTACCAGAGGAAGTGGTGGAGGCTGGTACAGTTACAGTATTTAAAAGTCATCTGGATAGATATAGAAATAGGAAGGGTTTAGAGGGATATGGCCCAAATGTTGGCAAATGCGACTAGATTAATTTAGGATATCTGGTTGGCCTGGATGGGTTGGACCAAAGATCTATTTCTGTGCTGTATATCTCTACGACTTTAAGACACCAAATGACCTTCTCCTGCTCCTGTTTTCAATGTTTCGATGGGGTAATTTAAATACTTTTCTTTTAAAGAAAGTTTGGCAGTTTTGGACCTCACATTTCTTAGTCAATGTAAAAATGGAGATTGGAAAGCTACAGCCCATTCGGCCCATTGAGTCCATACCAATACTCCAAAGGTCGGTCTACCCAGACCCATCCCCATACTCTATCACTGTAACACTGTGTTTCCCATGGCCAATCCCCTAACCTGCACGTCTTTGGACTGTGGGAGGAAACCGGAGCGCCCGGAGGAAACCCACGCAGACATGGGGAGAATGTGCAAACTCCACACAGGCAGTCACCCGAGGGTGGAATCAAACCCGGGTCCCTGGCGCTGTGAGGCAGCAGTGCTAACCACTGAGCCATTGTGCCGCCCCATAGGACAATTGGCCTAATAGAAGGAAAACTATATGTTTATTTCTGTCTCAACATTCTCATTGTGCATTCTGTAAGTCTTTCTGATTTCTTCTGCCCTGAGCAAATTTGAATGCAGTCTAGTAAGGGCCAGTGGCTCAAAGCCAAGTTTATACTTTAACTGAGGCCACAGATTTGTGTTCCTTGTTTAATGCAGATGTGAATGCCTTTAAAATAAGACAGACCTGTTTAAAAGGGATATTGTCAATTGTAGCTATGTTATTCTTGTCATTTCTTTGATCAAAACTTCATAAAATCTAACTGATGGCATCCGTGACAACGTTACCTCGCAATGCTAGAAGTTTCTTCAGGATCTGTAAAAGAGAAGTTACGTCTTTCCTCCCTTCTGTGGTTCATTAAGAATACGGTAGTCTCTTGATAGGTAGAGGCTCATTCTGGTTTTCTTGTTGCTTGGAGCAAGAATCACAACTTTCTAAAGATGAATCTGTTTTAGACCCTCCGAACAAACTCTAGTTTTTGACCCACTGGAGCTCCAGAAGCTGAAGCGTGACCTTTTAGAGGTTTATAACATCATGAGGGGCATGGATAGGGTGAATAGCCAAGATCTTTTATCAGGGTAGGGGAGTCAAAAACTAGAGGGCATAGGTTTAAGGTGAGAGGGGAAAGCTTTCTAAGGGGAAACTTTTTCATGCAGAGGATGGTGCGTGTACAGAATGAGTTGCCAGAGGAAGTGGTACGTGCCAGTACAGTTACAACATTTAAAAGGCATTTGGGTAAGTTCATGGATAGGAAAGGTTTAGAGCGATGTGGGACAAACACAGACAAATGGGACTAGATTTAGTTTAGGAAACCCGTATGGCATGGGCGAGTTGGACCGAAGACTGTGTTTCCGTGCTGTATGACTCTGTGTGTCAGACAGAGACAGCAATGAATTGCCAAAGGACTGTCTTCTAAGGCCCTCCACGGAAATGTTGGGAAAATGAGGAGAAAACTGCTGTTGAAAATATTATCCTTTCTTATTAGCCAATATCTAATGCGTGACTTGGCTTGACACAGTTAGCTGCAGATATTAATTGCATGTAAATGTATGGAATTATGCATACCTACATAATGCTGGATTAGTCACTTAGTCATCACTAAAACTTACTGTAATGTGGCAATGAATATGGTGACGTATTCATTACTGCCCAGCTAGTTCCCCCAGGGTCAGAGATAATGCTCTTCCTTATGTGGAGTTGGACATAGAGTCATCATGGCACAGAAGGAGATCTTTCAGCCCTTCGAGTCTATGTTCAGCTCTCTGTACAGCAATATGGTTAGTCCCAATCCCATATACTATCCTCATAGGCCTGAAAGTTTACTCCCCTCAAGAGCTCACCTAGTTTTCATTTTGAAATCCTTTCCCATCTCTGTTTCCACTTTCCCCTCTCACGAGTAACAAGTTTCTGGGTAAAAGAAAGTTGTCCCTCCAGTTGTTTTGCGAAAATCCTAAATCTGATCATGGCACCTTTAGCTATTGAAGCAGCTTTTCTTTGTCTACCTTATCCAAACCTGTCATAGCCTTGTAAACTTTTATAAAATCTCCGTTCAACTTCCTTTGCTCCAGGGAGAACATCACCAACTCAACGTGGAGGTCAAAATCCTCCATCCCTGTAACCATTCTGGTCAGTCTACTCTGCCTTATCCTCAAGGAATCTCACATCTTTCCTGAAGTGTGGTGACCAAAAACGGATACAATGCTCCACTTGTGGCCTCACTCAAGCTTTCTAAAGGTTCAATGCAATGCCCCTTTCATACTCAACACTTAAATTTACAAAACCCAAATTGGCAAATGCTGTGCTCATTGATCTTTGGCTATGCCCTGCCACTTTAAGGAGCCTTGGTGAGTAGATGCACATAGATCTTATTGACAGCACCTTCCAAATCCATGACCACTCCCATCCATAAGGACAAGGGCAGCACGTACATAGGAACACCGCCCCTGCAAGATCGCCTCCAAGCCACTCAGCAACCTGACTTGGAAATATATCACCATTCCTTCACTGTCACTGGATCAAA